ATCATCTGTGGCAGTATTCAGCAGAATGAACACACAGCATTTTAAACAAGGAGCCCGTAGACGATCTCAGCCACACAATTAGCGCTCTTGATACAAATGATGTGAGTAGAACACTGAACCCCACAAATGCAGGGTACTTCTTTTCAGTCATCGCCAAACATTTACAAAAACTGGCATTGTGACAACTCAGTGAAGAACTAAAAATGGAATTCCTCAAGTGTTTGCAGATCACGGTGCAATTAAGCTAGCAATCAATAACAAAAAGATAACCAGAAACCGCCATATGTTTGCAAGTAAAGAAATACGCTTCTGAGCAGATGGGAGGGAATGAGATCCAGAGCCCAGGAGGAGAGCTCCACCCTGTTCGTCAACCTCGCCTCAGCTTGGGCCCTGGTCCCACTGCCTGCTCCTGCAATTGTGGGTTAAGAGCAAGTTGCCTGAATCACCCGGGAACAATTCAGAAATGGTTCCAAATGGTGGGCTGCAGGCTCATGTTGTCATATTTTAGCCATTGGATGGCATGGTCTCAAGACTGGCCTCTATGTGGCTCTCCATATTTCCTAAAAGAGTACTTAGTGGACCACATTCTCTCCAAATCAGAGACTCATCAGTGGTTAAGTTCTTCACAAACCAAGCACTGCTCAGGTGAAGGTCTGGATGGTTCAGTCCCACAAGCAACCAGAGACTGACATTATTTTGTGAAAACAGATTCTGACAAAGTCACATTCAGGAAGAGTCATGAACCCAGAAGTTGGGGAACAGCAGGCACAGCCATGGTGAGGACCACGATTCTCCTCAGAGTGGACTAATCAGAAATGAAAGTCCCAAGTTCAAGGTCAGAGGTCTCACCCCAGATCCAATCAGAATCACCAGGGAAGTATCCACAACATAAAACATCCACCACACACCATTTTGGGCTTCTGAAGGCTGGTGTTCAAAGTTTCAGCACAAGAAACACCCTTCCCTTCTTTTCTTTTCCAAATAAAATCTCATCAGAGAAAACCGGAGACAGGAATCCCACCCTACAGATCAACCCCACCCCATCCACCCCCAAGGAGCCTGACCACAGATACTTTAGCCTGGTCTTCTTCTAAGTATGTGTAACCAAACACCCACCTCAGCCACTGAAAAAAAGAAAATCTTGAGAAAGTTCCCACAGAATGTCTAGCTTTGTGGCTTCCTGGTACAGCCTCCAAAGTAAACCTGGGGTGAACATGTCTGAGAGCAGCTGGGTGAGGTAACCAGTGACAGACCTGAGAAAAAGATGGCCAGTAATGGCAGCACTTGTGAAATAACTTGCAGCCCTTCCGAAATACCTTGCAGCCCTTCCTCTGGGGATGGATGATGAGTTGACGGAACCAGCCACATCTGCCCTGCTTGAGGATGATAAAATCCTTTCATCTGTTGATAAGAATGTTTGTCTTTTCATTCATTGCAAAAAAAAAAAAAATGTCTAAAAATGGTCCCAAATCAAATAACAATGCATTAAAAACAGAGGGGAAGGGAGGACAAATCATGTTCCTACTGCTTTTCTTGAGATTTCCAGAACTGTTTTCACTGCTGTCAACTTCGATTGATGGATGAGGTAAGAGTTTCAGGTAGGGTCCTTTCCACATACATCCCTGGCAACCCATTTCAATATCAGGGTTGCCCTGTAACACCTGGGCCTATCATTTGGAGGCACACATTCACACCACACGTATCACAGCGAAGCCAGCATCTGATACAAGTTATTTCTCACCAAATATTTGACGTGAATTGCCTAACTTCACTTTTGAAATCCTTTGTTTCTTTGGAAGGCACAGCAGTTTTGTTGGGTGTTCAGTTTGGACCTGCGATCATTTTTTTCAGGTCTCAAGCAGTTTTTGAGACCCTTGAAAATCTCACAGACCCAGGCACTGCTGGTGTCTGTGGGGCCACTGGATACTTCAGCCCAGGGCTGTGAAACTGTGGAGGCTGCTATGAGGAAAACATGGAGGAAACTGTTAGTCTGTCAAGTGACATCATCTCAGGAGAACATTCCTGTCTGGTTTTGGTGTCAAGGGTGGTGTGTCTCCTGCCATTGTTTTGTGAGCTCAGGGATCATTTATGGGATCACATAACCTCATCACACCAGCTACCAGAAAAGAAAGCTCAGAGAACATGAGCGCCATTTTGTGCTCTCAACTCACTCACAGACCCATCTTTTATCTCCTGCCTCAGTGTTCTCTTAGCCTCTCTCCTTCTCATTTAAAAAAAAAGTTTTTTTAAATCTGCTTTAAATAGTTGTCTGTAAACTTTCAGGCCAAGGCAGGATATGTACAAATCAATACATAAATCATATTATTTCCCCCCAAACTGCCTTTCTCCTGTATTTTCTGTTTATGATGACCCTTCTATTAAAATGGTAGCTACCTGGCGCGCAGACCTCTCCTGCCGCCCGCTGCTCCCCTCAGCAGTGTACTTCGGTCCTTCTGCCTGCTCTGCTCCCCACTCTGGCTCTGGTGAATTCTCTCACCCTCCCACGCTTCTGACTGTACCCAGTGCATGTATAAACAAAACAAACAAACAAATAAATAAATAAACATGCCTCTATTTAAAAAAAAAAAGAATTTAAATAAATAAATAAATAAAATAAAATGGTAGCTACCTTTTGCTGGGTATTTCTCACCAGCAGGCATGTGCCCAGCGCATGGCATGGACCTCTTCTTCACATCATCAGAACAACTCCAGAGATAGAGACTGCTGTTCCTTACTTTGCAGGTAAAGAATGTGAGACTTGGATGGATAAAGGAACTTGCCCTGAGACAGTCAGCCGAGTGAGAGGCAGGGCTGGAATTCCACCCAGGACCACACGGTCACCCCCCCACCCCAGCTAGGAACACCTCTCCACCTGGTGCCTCTGCTTGCATCCCAGCTGTTGATTTGGCCTCTTAACTGCCTCATATTCTGTTCCCTCTTCTCCATCCTCAGTCTCATTCCTTATTTCAGGGTCCTTTTGATCTCTGGCTGAGATTTTGCAATCGCTTCTCAGCAGATCTCTCTGAGTCCAAGTCTGTCCTCTGTAGATTGAGCCTCTGTACCTCTGAAGTACAAAGGTGTCCACATCCATTTCGAGGGTCCCAGTCATCGGATAAAGTCCAGTTTCCTTTGTCCAGCATTGGGGACTTTTTACCATCTGTTCTCAATCTAACTAGATGAGTTGTGACCCTTGCTCCCAGGACAATGATCACTCCCCCAACAAGGGGCCTCAGAAGTCTTGCACACGCTCTTTCTGCCTCCTGTGCCAGCTCAGCACATCTTTCAAGTTTGGATCCAAATGCAATTTCCATTGAGAAGGCTCCTCTGGTCCGGTAGCCCCCAACCCTCCTCCATGATTTTCCTGTTCTTTCTAGAAAACTCCCACCTCATTGATTTCATTGTGTTGTCATTTTTTATCTGTCCATCTCCCTCACTGGACCCTGAGATCCTGGAAGACAAGGACCTTGTCTTACCTCCTCCCACCTCCCTCACACTGAGGACCCAGCTCACAGCAGCTACTCAGCAATTGTTGAGTGTTCAACCCAGGAGTGAGCCTAAACGGGACCTCCAATCACTGCCTAAACATTAGCCTTCCTACAGCTCTTCTGCCTGCCACCCCCAATTCCAAGAATATAGGGTTATCACTAATGTGTACTTTGGGGATAATTAGAAAATAAGTCTCCTCTGAGCTGATATATCACGATAAGATGTCTTTGGGCTTATATGTTGAGTAGGTAACCTTCCTTGTGGCTTTGCCTGAGCTAGACTTCATCCCTCACTCTCCTAACCAGTCTGGTACTTGCAAAGGAGCATATGCACATGTCATACGGCTTGGTCTGCATGCACACAGACAATTGTCTTGCCTTTGTATGTGCTATTTTTTGAAGGGCCCATCCACTCCCACCTGCATATGTGAACTTTAATACCCAACCCAAATATCACTTTCTGAATCCCGCTCTCAGGCAGATGTAACTCCTCCCACTTCGCTCTTCCCTTAACTGCTGGAAGACACCAGACTTGGTTCTTACTGTTGCATCATAGCTCTTTCTTCATTGCAGGGGCCAAGAGTAGTGGTTGTGTCTTAGTCATCTTTGAGTCTCCAATGCCAATGATAATGCTTTTCATACACATGGTGGGTTCTGGAAATGTTTTGAACTAAAGGCAGAGCATCCATCAAGTGACACTTAGTTCAAAATCTTCAAAAAACCTGCCTTTGCCTCCTGATTGCTTCAAACCCCCCAGCTGGGCACGCCATTCCATCCACTCCCACTCCACTGCCTCCGCAGGCCACCTCCACGTTCTTTTGCAGACAGCATGGGCTTCTGAGCATTTTTTATCCCTGGGTCTTTGCTCACCTGCCCCTTCTGCCTACACTGCCCTCTTCTCTTTACCTGTCACAATCCTTCAAGGCCTCACTCCAGGGCCCTTTCCTTATAAAGTGTCCCATCAACAAATGTGGCCTCTTGCCACTGAGAGCTAAAGTACTGTGCCCTTCCCAAGCCATCCCCAAAACACATTCTGTTTTAATGATGTGTTTTTATTTTTTAAGATTTATGCATATAGCTTCACAGTGCTGTGCTTAACCCCTAGCGCCACCAGGGAGGCCCAATGTGTGTTTTTAAAAGACACTTTGGGGGCAGGCCCTCCCAGACGGGAGCAGAGTACAGTGCACATAGTAGGTGCTCAGTAAATAATGGACGACATGCAACAGGGAATCCAGTGCTACACCTGCAAGCAGGCAAGGGGGCAAACTCATCTTCAGCAACCAGCAGGACACGTACCTCTACTTTTCTCAGGAGGGATAAAATGTCAGCTCAAGGGAGAACTGCACACATCACCCCTCCCTTCCTCCCCCTCCAACCCCAGCCACCAGCTGCCCGACTTTCCTTCTCAGAGGTGAAAGCAGGGTGTGGCAGCCCAAGTTTCCTTTGCTCCACCTCCTCTCTTTCCCCCAAACACAGAGCAGAAATTCACCTCTGCCAGGTGGTTATCCAGCTGCTGCAGGACAGAGCACACCCAGGGCAGTGGCACGGGGTGCCCGGCGAGCCTCTGCAGGCATGGTGCACACCCAGGCCCCCCTCTGCAGCAGGGGGCACCTCACGTCTGCCACTCCGGCCACCCTGCTACTCAGCCTGGTCTTTGCCTCCTTCCACTCGTCTTGCTTGGCAGGTAGAACTGTGAGCTTTATTCTTGGCTGCACTGGGAGCAGGGAGGGAGGCAGGGAGGGAGGCAGGGGGGCAGGTGGAGGGAAGCTTGGTCAGGGTTGATCCTGCAGAAGGAAGAATCAGTCCTTTCTCATCTGCAGGATTAGGCAGGAGGGGGTGGGGTGGGCTGGATGGGGATGTCTGATGTTTACCGAAGACACAGGCCCTCAGTTAGGGCTCCTCTGTCTTTTGCCACAAAGAGGAAAAAGCAATTGCATGAGAACCTCTCCCATCGGGGACCATAGTGGCCTAAAATGACACCTTTGGGCAGCTCCTTCTCAGTGGCCCCAGGGCTTTGTGGTTTGCATCCCTCCTCCTTGTCCCCCACCCTGCTACTGCACTCACACTGCAGGTCCTCTCTCCACCCCTGGGCCCTCTGCTTTCTTCACAACATGCACAAAACCCAAAGGCCATGAAAGCTGCAATCTACATTCTCTCTCTCCACCAAGCATGGATGCTGGGTTATCCATCTTTCTAGGGTTCATCCTATCCCCTGTCTTGCTCTCCCAGACTGGGGTCTGCACCAGTTACCCTCACACTGCTGGCTTTGGCCTCTGGCTCCTCAGCTCCCCTCATAAGTCTACCCTCAAAACCAATCTTTCCCGCCCCCCTCAGCTGGTGTCTATCCCTCATCCACACCTGTCTCTAATGTGGAGGTTCAGAGCTGGGCTCTCAAGCCCCCTGAGCCTGACCCCAACTCCACCTTCCACAGCTTACTAGCTGTGTGACCTTGAGCAAGTGACTTAATGTCTCTGTGTCCCAGTTTCCCCATTTATAACATGGGGATAAGCGTAGTGTTTCGGTGTAAGGCTGTTTTAAAGGTGAAATAATATCACTGCATGTGAAGAACTTTAAATAAAACAGCACGTGGTAAACAATAAATGCTAGCTGTTTGGTTGATTTTTCCAATGTCTCCTGCTCCCTGAAAAAAAAGTGTTTCATTTTTTTCTGTTTACCCTCACAGGGTCTTGCTTATGATAGGGGCTCAAAAACCCACCCATTTAAGTGCACTGAATTGTTGAGTCCTCCCTCTGAGAAGGGAAGCCAGACTGGTGTGGCTGGAGTGGGAGGAAGGGGGAATGTGTATAGTTCTTCCTTGAGTTGACATTTTATCCCTCCTAAGGAAAAAAGAGATGTGTGACCTGCTGGTTCTTGAGTTGCCACCCCTGTCCACTTACAGGTGTAGCACTGGATTCCTCCTTGCATTTAGTCCCTTTGAAAGTGACCCCCTGCACAACCAGTCCCTGCTGGTTCTGTTTCTAAAGGAGAAGGGTCATGCTTAAATGCTTTGGGATTTATGACTAGGCCATACAACTGGAACCCATAAAATTGTTGATAATGAACCTTTTTTGGCCTACAGAAATGAACGACCATTTCACAAGGTTTTTCCTAATAGTAGCATCCAATTAACTAGGATTTTTCCACTCCTTTGCTCTATACAGGAAGCACTTCCATTCCAGAGGTGGCAGGGAGGTGAAAGTCAGGGCCAAGGAAGTCATTTGGGTTATTTTGGTTTGGGAAATCAAAATGTTGAGGAATCAATTTCTCCAAAACAAATAAAGAACAAGCTCTAAGCCATTTTGCTGTAAATAATTTACAGTAACAATCAGATTGCATCAAGGTAATTACTGAAATTTAAGCAGGACACTGGAGTGGCTTGGGGTGGGTGGCATACAATTAGTCTGAGCAGTAATTTCACGGTTTCTAATTGGCCCTACTATGTGACAACAAGCTCCTTGGAAGGACGTGTAGACCCAGAGTCAGTGGGCCCTGGAGAGTTCTCACACCACATTTTTTGGTTTATTGTTTTGTTTTGTTGACATTCCCAAAGCAGCAGCATGAACAGCAATAGAATTTCCAGAAAGATTCTTTAAGACTGGTCCCTTGGTTTTGACTGTCTAGATTAACACGGTCTAGTAAAACTCTTGTGATGATGGAAGCATTCCATGCCTGTGCTGTGCTTCCAATATGGCGCCAGCAGCCACCTGCGCCAGCAGCCACATTAAATTCCATCTAATTTTATCCAATTTTAATTTAATAACAGTAAATAGACAGATGGCTGCCGAATTGGACACCGAAGACCTAGGTCATTTGTCTTCATATTCTTGTCACGAGAGGCACATGGGCAACGGTTTTTCTTCCTGGGAGGCCCTTATGTTCATCTCCACAACCGCACCCTGCCCCTCCCGCGAGCCTGACAACCTGCAGAATTCCTGCTGCAGTTCTTTTTCCTCGTTGTGCGCCTTGCTTATTAATCACGGGACAAATCTCCAGGCTGCATATTTTAGCGATTTCTAGATTTGCTTGTACGGTGTTTGCTTCAGTTTTTGGTTTTTTTTTTTTTTTAAACCATCTGCCCAAGTAATACCATCATGATCAACAGAAATATAGAATCAAGGTCCAATTTCAAAGTTGATGTGTTAAGTTTTTGAAAGGAATTGAAGATAGTTACAAAACAACATTTCAGATGTTTGACTGTTTTCCTATCGACTAGAAAAACCATGTGATATAGAGAGCTGCTAAAATAGAGCCTTTGGAAAGCTCTCCCTGGCAGGGCACCAGTCACTGCAAGGCGGTGAGAAAGGATGATAACGCATCTCTGAATGAGGATGGAGATCGGGAAAGGAGAGTTGCACACTCCCGCTGTGACCTCACATGGTTTTTTCTCTGTGCACCCCAGTTTCTCTTCCTCTTCTCACAAGGACTCGCTGGTCCTATTGGCGTAGGATCCACCCATAGGACTGCATTTTACCTTAACTGTCCCATAAAAGGTCCTACCTCCATGTACAGTCACTAGTGGGGTTAGGAATTCAACATATGGGGGCCTCCCTGGTGGCGCAATGGGTTAAGACACAGTACTATGAAGCTGTCCGCAGCCACTGAAGCAAGAGTTCGATCCCTGGCTGGCCAGGGAGCAACCCACATGGCTCAACAGACCTCTCCTGTCTCACCCGCTGCTCCCCTCAGCAGTGTATTTCAGTCAGTCTGTCTGTTCTGTTCCCCACTCTGTCTCTGGTGAATCCTCTCACCCCCTGCACCTCTGGCCTGTACCAGTTCTTGTATGTATAAATAAATCTTAAAAAAAAAAAAAGGAATTCAACATATGAATGGGGTACATAGTTCAGTCCACAGCAGAGGGTGGGCTTTTTTTGCATGAGCTCTCAACGGACATAGACTGGAATTTCTACTCAGCTTGCATGCTACACAAAAAAGATTTCAAACTCTCCACCCAGGATGGCTGTTCTACTGCCTGAGAATATCTTCTGTCTTTCCTTCCAGAAGCAAGCAGCAGCAGCAACTCAAGCCTGACCACACACCACCAAGAGCCCGAGGCCCTGGAGCAGTGCCCTAGTAAGCCTCTGCCAACTGCCCCCAAACCCAGGGCTGGGCCTGGGTCTTGGAGGGACCTTAACCTGATTACTTTCTGCCGATTGGTGCCAGGGGGGCTGGCACCTGAGAACTGGGATGGTTTGTTCATGGTCCCCACAGCTGCTTGCAGGACACATCCAAAAGGTTATCGTGGCCTGGGCCCGTAGGCTCACAGCCTTTGGAACAGGGGGTTGTGATGCCCTGTACACTGGAGAGCAGCCCAAGATGCTCTGGTTTCTCATCTGTGTAGAAGTTTGGGAGCAGAAAGGCCATGAAAATCAGCCAGTTCAATTACCGCTGATCCAGGAGCTTGGTTAGGGACCTTTTGCACGTCCCGATTCATCCTCTGCTTGAACACTCTCAAGCAGAACATGCCAGAACACTCTGGCAAGGAGCCTAGTACTTCATGAGCTACCATGTTTCTCGTGTCCAATTAGTAGACAGTTTCTCTGTATTCTAAGTCCAGCTCTCTTTTTCCTGCTGGAATAGAATACCAAATGTTTTACTTCCAGGCACTTGCAAAGGAGGCCTTAAAAAAACAAAATTTGCTGGAGTTAAACACTGGCTTTATGTAGTGATTCAGGAATGAGGCAGCATCCCATGTCACAAATAGAAGGGTGCTGTCTAAAAGGGAAGATTTTTATAAGCAGAAATTATCAGACGAGGACTTTTATTAGCAAAACGAAAGGATCGTTTCAGCCAGCGTAAGCTGCTTTTAGGGGCTGTTCCAGGGTCTTCTTAGGCAGACCATTTTACTAGAGCAGCAAACTCCTCATGGGTTGGTTTAAAATTCCACTCCCGGAAGAGGCTGACACTGCAGTAGGTTAGGGATTAAGCCTTGGTGGGCTTAGCATAAGTTACTCCACTGGGGGCCTATTTCTATTTAACAGAGGGCAAAGGGCACAAACTGGGTTAAGAACAGGACTTTGGAGACCTGGAGTCCTGGGTTAGAGTTCTAGTTTTGCCATCTCCGACCTTGGGCAAGTTTCAGCCTCAGTTTCTCCCCATACAATGGTAATAACTGTCCCCATCACTTTGAGGAATAAATAAGGTGACTCGTGTAAAGCTCTTAGCACGATGCCAAGCAAGGCTTGGCAAATGCCAGCTGTTCCACCACTGCTGTTCTTGCAATTGTGACCATCACAGGGGGACGGGGGTAGGGGTGGGGGGGCTGGGTGATGCCCCCTGAGTCTCTGGCTCTGTCTCCACCAGATGTTGACTTCTGTCCCCAAGCTGCCCTGTGCTGCCACGCCGGCGTGGACGAGTATGGCTGGATTGCAGCCGCTGTCGGCTGGAGCCTCTGGTTTCTCACTCTCATCCTGCTCTGTGTGGATAAACTGAGGAAGCTGACGCCAGAGGAGGCCAAGGACTCACAAGCCTAACACGTGACACTTGCATCCCAGGCCCCCCCAATTCCGCAGGCCACGGGGGAGTGGAGTCCTGCTGCTGTGGCTTCTATCATTCTAAAGGCATCTTCACCTTTCAGCTTCAGTTACTTTTTAAAGACAAGGGAGAAGGAAAGTGGAATCCAGACAAGGCCAGATCAGCGCTGCCTTCACACCTCCTTTCTAGAGGCCTGTTTGTAACTGAACCTCATGGGGGTCCTTTGCCTGCTGGGTGCAGACGGCTGAACTGGCAGGGGAGGGGGTGCCTTTGTTATGTGACCAGTCAAATATGCCTCCTACAGAGCTCAGGGCTTTAAGGGCAAGTGGAGGGCAGGGCACAGGGCTGCCTGGGCTGGGCAAGAAGGACAGAGGAGGGGAGTTCCCACGTGCAGTGGCTGTTTATGCCTATGCACGGTTTGCGCATTCATTTTGGGGGCCCAGCATGTGCTTGGGGTGGGGGCTGGAGGGCTTGGCATCATAAGGTTACTCCTGGTTGCTTCTTCTGGAAGTTGTGTGTTTGCCTTTAGAGCACAATTGCTAGATAACCTGTTAGAACCTGCCTCCAGCAGCTGCTGCTAGTCAGGACCTGCTGTCTTGCAAAATTCAGGCAGCAAGAGTTGGAGTAGGAGGGAGCGACACATGGGAAGGGGAGTGCCATGGGCCTCTTTGACGCTTCCTGTGAGAATGGCTTAGATTTTGCAAAACAGTATCTGACCACGGTTCCTCATGGGCCTCCTGAGCCTGGATAAGCTCCTTTCTCAAGATAGGCCCGAGGGAAGTCCCATCTTAGCCACCGCCTCTTAGGGATTCCAAGGGAGGTAGGTGCCCACGAGAGACAGCCCTTAGTCTTGAGTGCCCCTGGGACAGACTCCACCTCCTACCAGCCCAGGCTGCTGTCTTCTGTCCCTCACTTCAGCCAAGGGCCTTCCTGCTACTTCCAACGCGAGTCGCTTGGGCACCCCCATCTTCCCGACCCCCAAGTCCCACCCCACCCCAGCTCCCATTCTTTCCTCAGCATTACCTTCCACAGCCATCCTGCCGCGACTCCCTGTGGGCCCCCCTGGACTTCACCGCCTGCTCATCCCCTTATCTCAGGAATATTCTGGTCCTTCTCACTGCCTGCAAGATTGCCCTGCCCAACTGTCTGCCCCCATGAGCAGCAGTGGGGGTCCTGGCTGCTGACACCCTGCAGCGACTCCCAAGAGGGCTTTCAGGTCTTCAAGAGCACCCTCACCTTGCCGGTGCAGGGCAGGGCTCGGCAGCCCCTCCAGCTCCATCTCGAATGCTTGTCCTGCCTGGCTGTTTGAAAGGGACCAGCAGCTGGTGTCCTTAGGGCATTTCTGCCCTGCTTGAGGCACAGCCGCCACGAGTGGGCTTCCTCACGGTCAGCTCATCCCACCTCAGGCCCCTGGCGCAGAGAACACACCTCAGGAGATCTGTCCAATGAATGATTATCCAATGAATGAATGAATGAATGAATGAGTCCCTGGCCAGATGAACCTGTGGCCATCAGCTTGCATGAGGCACAGCCACGTCTCTATAGGTGGCTGACATCGCCAACCTCTGAGGAAGCCAATTCGGTAGCTATGACTGTCGCTGTAAGCTCTTCCAGGGGTCAGGTGACGAGGAGGTGGCTTCTTCAGAGGGAAGAAAGGACAGATGATTCTTTCTTCATGAAACAATGTTCTGCCCTTTGAGTGGGCACAGGTATTTAGATTGCATAAAATCAATCATAGCACCAAAAGAAAAAAAAGAAGAAGAATCTCACTGGGGTACTGATTTGCATTTCCCTGACTCGTGACACTGAGCCTCTTCTACGGGCCACTGGCCACTCTGATGTCCAATTCAGAAAAATGTCTCCTGTGTTCTTCTGCCATTTTTAATTGGGTCATTTGTACTTTTTGTTATTAAGTTGTATAGGTTCTTTATATATCTTGGCTATTAACCCTTTACCCAATAGATGGTTTATAAATTTTTCTCCCATCCTGTAGTCTGCCCTTTTATTCCGTTGACTGTTTCCTCGCCATGCAGAAGCTTTTTAGTTTAGTCCCTCTTGTTCATTTACTTGTTTATTTTGGTTTTGTGGTTTGCGCTCATTTTCCTTTTGTCCTTGCTCTACAACACACGAGAGTGCTGTAGAATGAAAATACCTCTAAGAACATCTAACAGATCTCCCTGATAAGTATGAAATTTGAAAGAGCTAGAGGCCCCTGACAAAGGAGGATCCAACTGCTCTTCAGAAAGTCTCAGTAACCCTCCCTGACAATGGGGATGGGCGGGTCCACCCGGCCCTTCTTCAGTCTCCTGACGACCCAGAGAATTTTGTAGTTTTGGTTGTTTAATCAGTAAGACGGGATGGGCTGACTGTTCCTAAGGGTTCCTAAGGGTTAACTAATCCCATCAAGTGTCTGCCTCATGCCCTGCGATGCTGTGGGTGCACACAAGCAGGTGTCCCCACTTTTGTAGAAATTCAAGCAATTTCCACAAGGATTTCATTCCTTAGAAATGCAAAGTCTCAGTAAGGAGCACTTGATTTAATATCTGCAGGAAGTTCTGAAATAAACCCCTGTGACACAGTGGTAAGAGGGAGGGCGGGAGGGAGAGAAAGAACTAGAAAGAAGAGAAGGGAAGATTTATTTCCGGCCAACAGAAACAGGAACGGGTCACTTCACCCTGTTAGCATCATCTCCCTAAGCGGAAAAGGTAAGAAATGGACCAAATAGTGGCTGCAAACTGGGTGGCAAAGGCTCATGGTGGGGAGGCAGAAGAGGGTGCAGGAGGCCCGATCTCCAGAACAGGGGGCTCCTGCTCTTCTCTCTATCACGACTCTGTGGTGCAAGATTGCACTTGCCACCTTGAAAATTGGAGTGACAGAGCCTGGGGTAGTATCTGAACCCCAGGACAGGGGCAGGCCCCAAGGCTACGTGAAGGGAATGACTGGTGGCTCCCTTGCGGTCATGGACATTTAGGCCTTTGGTGAATTTCCTTCCTTTTATTTGTGCAAGAGGAAGAACAGACCAAATCTAAACATGGGTCTTTTCTTTGAGACTTGAAGGAAAGATGAGATAATTTGTGGGTATTCGTCCCAGAAGCTGTGTCTTAATCTATTCTCAGTGTGGAATTGCTGAATTCTAACACATTTGTCAACAAATTAAAAACTGAGCACTGGGCCTCCCTGGTGGTGCAAGGGGTTAAGTCTCAGCACTATGACGCTATTGCCAGCCACTGCAACACAAGTTTGATCCCCGTCCAGAAAGCTGGCCCACATGGCACAGCAGACCTCTCCTGTCTCCCCGCTGCTCCCCTCAGCAGTGTATTTCAGTCGATCTGCCTGTTCTGCTCCCCACTCTGTCTCTGGTGAATCCTCTCACCCACCCCCCGCACCTCTGGCCTGTACCCCAGCTCTTGCATGCGTAAATAAATAAATCTTTAAAAAAAAAAGAAATACTCTTTCTTCTCTTCTTTTGCTATGCACACTATTTCTACTAATGATCTATCACATCTTTCACATGGATGGTAGGATCTCATTTTTTTTTTTTTTTTTTTTTATAGAGGCATGCTTTATTTATTTGTTTGCTGGTTTGTTTGTTTGTTTTGTTTATACATGCACTGGGTACAGTCAGAAGCGCGGGAGGGTGAGAGAATTCACCAGAGCCAGAGCGGGGAGCAGAGCAGGCAGAAGGACCAAAGTACACTGCTGAGGGGAGCAGCGGGCGGCAGGAGAGGTCTGCACGCCATGTGGGACCCTCCTCCGGTGGCCGGGGAGCAGCCGGGGATCGAACCGACGCCACAGAGGCCGCGGGCAGCTTCTCAACCCAGCGCTCAACCGCTGCGCCACCGGGGAGGCCCCAAGTAGGATCTCATTTTTAAGGCAGGCACCCTTAGATTTGGAGTGACTGGGTGCCCCTCAGCCATGTGCTAATAATATCATGTAAGCTCAAAAATAAGTCTGAGGATAGCTTGGGCCTTTTTTCCATAAAATATATGTAGGTATGTCTCTAAACTTAGAGAAATAGCAATCCAAACATGGTTTTGAAGGAAAATAGCCCTCTCCGAGCCTTGGCGTCTGTTTTGAAGGCAGGTGCAGACACAGGGGACAGTTCCATGGGCCTTCATTGGTGGTTGGTAGAAGTGCCTTGTAGACAAACTATTTCCAGCCTCACCTGGCTCTAGTCCACCCTCCATGCTTCCTTCCAGAGTGATCTCTCAAATCCAGAATCAAGTGTTCCAGTCAGTCCCTAAATCCTCCTGTGACTCCCCACAGCCAACAGAGTAATCCAAACTCTCAGGATGATCTTGTGTAACTGGACCCACAGAGATGGGGGGCAGGGGGAGGGGTGCTACCTCTTGCATATCATCAAACAGAATGAGCACTATTCTGAGTTATTTCAACTCCCTGATGATGCCAAGACTTCTCTATCCGCCATGTCTTCATTCCTGCTGTTTACATGGCTACACACACACTTCCCAAGGGGCAGATTTGCCCTAAACCAAGAGAAGCTCACATTTAGGGCCTCCTTCCTTGCCTGGCACCCTCAACCCTCCACATGCTCTCCCCCTAACTGTGTTGTTTGCTGTTATTTAAGGGGAGGCCCTCTAATGGAAGACACCTCAGCATCATTGACTGGACCTGCCTTGCTCTTCCTCTCCCTGAACCCCTCTCCTCACTGAGTTCAATTGGTTGACTGGGGAGAGTACAGTTGAGCTGTACTCTCTTCCTGGACACACACACACACACACACACACACACACACAATACCAATGGCCTGTGCTCACCTAAGGCAAAGACTCCCCCCCCCATCAACGCTGACCCACTTCTCTCAATAAGGCCTCATCTATGGGCTCTCAGCAGGATTTTGTCCACTCTCTCCCCCCACATTATTATTTTTTTAAAGATTTATTTATGCAAACAAGAACTGGGGTACAGAGTGGGGAGCAGAACAGGCAGATTGACTGAAATACATTGCTGAGTCTCCCTTCACATTGAAGTCAGATTTCAGTGACTACTGCCATGATTTCTAACAGTTCAAGGCCTCATCCCTAGGAGGGGCTAACCCCCTTGAGGTGCCTGCCTGAGCAAGCCAAAGTCTGTCCAAAAATTTACTGCTTGCACTAACCAACACCTGACAATAGGCTCCGCCCCCTTTCTTAGAGCTGAGACACGTGGGTGAGGGACAGATTGTTCTCTGGTGGACAGTCTCACACACACACTGGAAGTGGTTACAGCCCACCATGACTGGCTGGGGCTGGCTGGGCACCTGATCTGGAAAGAATCTCACAGAACATTATAAGATAATTATAACTAAACTATTATAACCAAATGACACACCTCCAAGCAGCAAAACAGGAAAGTCAGACCATATCAGGGGACAGCTCTGTGGGGGTCAGAAGCCTAGCTTGATTGCTAGCTGGCAGCAGACAAGGCTG